GACCCCTGCTCGGCCCACGGCCCAGCCCGTGAATCTCCCGCATGCGATCAACGATTCCCCTCTGGCGCTGCAACGCTGAATTAGGGTTTGGCTACAGAAGGTTCTGGAATCATCTTCACGGCTATAAGTAGCAGTGAGATCCAACCCTGAAGAGGCAAGTAAAACATCTCCAGTTCATTGCTTTCTCAACTTTCCCTTGCTAACTTAGGCATCGGAGCCCCGTGTGACTAAGGTCACACCGGTTTAGCTCGATTTGGTTTTGCAGGTATCATCCCCGAATTATCGAGTTAGGTGTGTACGAGAGGGAGAACTGGAGGATCGAAATCCACACATCAACAACTATTTTTATTGAAATGTATCTTAAATTGTGGTTACTGCGGTTGGGATTGGTGAAGCCAAATCGACGTTGGAACGAGCAAGGGATGAGTCGGGATCAAGTCGAGACATCAAAGAGGCACACGACCATGTTTTTTGGGCTTTTGTTGGGACCTCTAGAGGGTGAATATCGTGGTGAGATATTTGAGTGCTTGTATTCAATCTCATATTATAGTGGAACCCGTATCTGAGCAGAAGACTGGACGTAGCTCATAAATTGTTGGGGTTAACCAGTATAAATTCTTATGTCGTTTATTGCTTTCCCTATAATCTCTAATTTGTATTGTGTGATTGAGATTTATTTGGATATAACTTTGGAAGGGAAAATTGTTTTTGAGCACGTTAATTTTCCAACAAGAGCATAGCTCAACAAAAATTGGGTCGTCCACTTGATCCTACTATTACATCTCAATTTCATCTCATTGGATTGTACCCATAAGTTTATTTAAGAAAAATGCCACGTATATAACAAGTAATTTACTTTGTATGATATTTTAACAAGTTCCTACTATCACTAAAAAAAATAAAAATAGATTTCTAAATATAAATGAACTTAAGAGAATCTTTAGAACTTGTTAATAGCAAAAGATACATTGGCATGAGGTGTGACGAGACACAAGTGAAATCAATTATGTACATATTAAAGTAATTATTTTTATTTATTAAATACTAAATAGTAAATTATTTGAATAAAGAAATTGCTCTCCCACGTATCTCTATAATTACTTTTTATGTGCTTGAATGTGAATGGTTAGAAATAAGTTGGTTAGGTATTTGAGAGAGAAACACACGAAGGAAATTCCCTTCTACTATGTAAACATGGCCGTTTGTAATTTTGGGAATGGATATGCTCAGCACTATAACTTAAAAGTTTAGATATTCGGAATTTTAAATCTATGATATTTTCATATAATCACGTTTGTTTAGGATTTTCAGAAATACTGGATAACTATATTTGTTTGACAAGATTTGTGTTCAATTTATAAATGTTCCAAAAATGTTCCTGCAACTATTCATATAATTTATAAATTAATTAATTTGAATTAATTTAATACTTTACTTTTTTTATATTTTGTACAACAAATTAATTCACATTAATTTAATATAAATTTCATTTTTAACTTTTAATATGTTTCAAAAAGATAATTATATAATTGATATTATCTTGGGTGAAATGTATTTATGTTCATCGTCACATTATATTTATTTTAAAGAGGAAAAATATCACAAGTATGTCTCGTAAAAAAATGTTGCTTTAAAATTATATATTTATGATAATAAATATTATTAATAATATAATTCATTCAAAATATTAAAAATAAATGAAGATATTATATAATTTAATTGCAATTTATTTTACATGTAAATGTACTCGTTCCTCTTTTCTTTTACGAAAATCCYGGGGTTTATGCGTTTTTCGGAAACGCAAGTAGCTCGTCAAGCTAAAAATAGAGGAGTTCCCTCACTACGAAAGATATGTAGCGGATGGATAGATCTCCTATTCGTTTCGGATCCACCTGAAAAAGAGTCATTTTTCTATTTATTCTAGTTGTTTGATATTAGTAAAGCGCTAACGCGCCCCTGCCATCTTTCTAAAGCAACAAGCGGGAAACTTGGACTTAAACAAAGCAACAGCAACCCATCAACCTAATAATAATGAAGGGGCTTGGCTCGAAAGGTTACTAGAGCAAAGGTTAAATGTAACCTACAAATATACTTAGGGTGTATTTAGGAGTGATTGTATAACTAGTGATTTTGAAAAAAGAGAATAAAGTCTAATTGATTTTCCAAAATCATCCTCCAAGTGATAAATTAAAAATCAATATAAAGTGATTTTAAGCTTTCATACAATCAAATTTCTAATTTGTCAAATATGATCAATAGAAAGGGAAGTGATTTTGACCATGGCAAGAGTGATCTTGGTCATGTCAAAACCACTTTCAAACACGCCCTTAATTGCGTATTGTTTATTGGACGATGACTACATTGATTTGTTTAAATTATAAATTTAGAAAATAAAAATAAAAAAAAATTTTAGACAAAAACAAAGAAAATTGATGAAAGAAAATATATAGACAAAAAAATGTAAAGAGGGAAACTCATGTTTTAAAAGGACATCCAAAACTAATAAGATGTCTCTTGTAAGGGCGTAGGATATTGGACATCACAAGATTCTCGAGTATCCTATATTCCTGCAAAACAAATATGGCAATCCAGATGTCCGTCCAACGGGAATCTTGGATTCCCATGAAACAAATGCCCCATAGAGAGAAAAAGGAAGAAGTTTTTGCACTGTATTTTTTAAGGTCTTAGGTTGTGAATAAATAAGATTGTCCTTTCACGATTATCTTTGAATCATTTACCGCTAGGCTAAGTTATTACAACATTAAGAGATAGAATTAAAGTACAAGACACTTTTTCTTTTTTGGCTAGAAATAGAAATAGACATTTATCCTTGAAATACGATATTTAATCAAGCAGGTAAGGATGAATAAACCACTATTTAAAACCAATTGGTAAAGAGGAATAGTCCATGTTTATGAAGTAGCCCATTTATATTATAAAATTTTGTTAGGCCAAGGGACAAGTCACTTTTTTGTTTTGTTCTTGTGCTTTGGTTTAATGGCTGGCTTATGCTGTTTGGTTATTAAAGTATAGGTGCCTTTGACTTTGGATGTTAAGATTTCCACAATCCACACCATGGTGGAATCAACAAAGCCCAAGTAGATGAAGATTAAGAAACAAAAGTTGTGCATTACAATTATTTCACAACCACACACCACATGCATTTTCTAATCTCCTAATTAAAAGATGAAAGAGAGATGGTTCCTTGTTTGTTTCATGCTGAAATACACACTCATCAAATTTCTTACCTGCTTTCTGCAATCACAAATATTTAACCAAATGCCCCACAGGAGGGGAAGCAGAATTTTATTTTAGAAATCACATGGACCTCGGCTTTGCCACAACAGTGGAGTGGTTCAATATTTGGAGGCTAAATTGGCCTGGTTTCTCGGTGGTATCAATCCTGGAGTGTCCAGGAGGAGGCAGGAGCTCAAAATTCTGAACCAGACGACCCAAAGTAATTGCAACGATTGGCAAGGCGAGAATGATGCCCGGGCAGCTCCGCCTCCCGGCACCGAAGGGAAGGTATCTGAAGTCGTTGCCGCTGGGCTCGACGTCAGCCTCCTCCTCCAAGAACCTCTCAGGTACAAATTCATGGGGTTTGTTCCAGTGATCAGGGTTGTTGGCCAGCCACCAGGCATTCACCAAAATCTTGCTCTCTGCAGGGATGTCATAGCCACCCAGCTTGGCGTCTTGGAGGTTCATGTGAGGCACAAGCAAAGGAATGGCCATTCTCAGCCGCAGGGTCTCCTTGATAACAGCCTGCAGGTAAGGCAGATTGCGAATGTCGGGCTCCGTAATCTGAACGCCATCTCCCAGCACCGAGTCGAGCTCGTGCCTCAGCTTTTTCTGGATGTTGGGGTGGTTCACAAGCTCAGCAATAGCCCACTCCATCGACCAAAGTGTTGTCTCAATGGCTACATCAGCAGCAACATAATTTAGTTTAGTCCATTAAAAATATGAATATCCTCTCTCAACTCGCTAGTTACCTACCAGCAACATTGATGTTCTCAACAATGAAGAGAACATTGTCTTCGGTGATCTCACCACTCTGTTGAGCCTCCACAATATGATCGATGGCACATTTTGCACCATTCCCCTTCGTGCTTGCCAGTCTCCTGTGTACATATAGCTATGCAAGGTTTGTTGCACAATAACAAAATAAATAAAATGAACTAGCAAATATTACTGTTGTTATTATAATTATTACCTCCTCTCATCGACAAAATGGTCCTTGAAGAGCTTGAGCCTCCTCTCCTTGACATCCTTACACACATTCAAATAGCCCCTGAGAAAAGGCCTGAGAATTGGGATGAAATCGCCGTAGTTGTACTCGAAGCTCTGAGATAGCCGACTCCTCTCTGCGTTTATAAGCTTGAGGTTGTTGAAGAGAGGGTCTTCCATGCTGTCGAATCTCCTATCAAACATAATTCTGTACATATTGTTGTACATCAGAAGCTGCAGCCGCCTCCTCAGAACCACCCCACTTGTTGAAGCCTGTGGATTGTTCTTGAGATCCTCCACAACTCTGGCAGCCTCCTCCTCCCACCCCATCCTGTTCTGCTGCACCACCTTGTTTGTGAAGAAAGGGACGGTCATGATTCGTCTCATTTTCCTCCAGTGCTCCCCGTACACCGTGAACACCATGTCCTGGCCCTTGTCCGTGAATATATCGAACACCACGTTCCGCGTCCTGGACCCGAATTCGATCCCCTGGGTGTGCAGCACTTCCTTCGCCAGCTCCGGTGAAGAGACCACCACCAGGTTCCGCTGCCCCATTCTCAGCAGCAATATGTCTCCGAATTTTTTAGCCAGCTCTGTGAGGTTGCGGTGGTTTAAATCATCCCCCACCTGCAGCCAATTACCGAAGATAGGTATTGGGATGGGACCTGGTGGGAGTTTGAAACGCTTCCCCCTGAGCTTAGATATGGTAATAGCAACAACCATGGCCACGAACACGCCCAGCAGAGCCTTCTCCAAGAGGACAAGATCCATGGTGTAGTATGGAATTTTACTAAAACTTGGAGGAGATGATCCTCACCTCATGATCTGCCACTCATTTATATATACTCAAAACTCGAAAGTCAAAACCCTCCTGTTTTGATGCCCATATTGTAGTTGGTGAAGTTTGGACTTTAAAATATCTCCACGACCAATTCTCCTTCCAAGAGATGAAGAGCAATTAATATTAAGATATAACCAAGTTGTCTGTTCGTCCATTCGAAGCAACCAGATCAATATGGAACATAAATAAATATGAGGTTGAAATTTGCTTTGCACCAGCGTCGTAGAAGAAGGGTTACAGGGGGACTTGATCTGATGATTGGGATACAATTTGATGCAAGCAATGGGAGACGGCGTTGATTTAGAACTAGTCTAGACATGGCATGGAGCCAACAAACTTAATATTTAACACAAATATAATGGTCAACGTTTCTGAATTCATCAGAGTCGTTGATATGATTGTGTGAAGCCAAATATATATGAGGTTGGAAACATATACTATTACGACCAAATTTGGATTGATTAAGCATATGGAGTAGGTAGGAGAGTAAAGAGGAGACTTAATGATTTGACCAATAAAACAAACATATATAAGAACAATACATATTTGTACGGAGAGAGGGAGGGAGGGAGGGAGGGGGGTTCCAATCTCTCCTCCATCAACACCCTTCAACCTATTAACCCAAAAAAATGATTAGTATGAATAAACAAACAAGTAAAATCAAAATAGATCACATAAGAGAGATAGAAACGAACGAATGAGGAGTCGACATTTGGATAGTTTCCACTTGAAGAGGTCGGGTCAATGATGTCTCGTCTGTATTCGTCTTTCAATACATGGAATATGATATTCATACCACCTCATAATATGAGGCTCATATATCGTATTTCTTTTTCTTCTTAAATACTAGTAAACATAAAAGAGCAACAGGTAGGCATAGGACAAAGCTTAACCAAAAAGTTGATGTGGCAAATTGCTTCAGTCCTTGCATCTCATAACCACAAAATACAAGCCGTAGAATATGGAGCTCATTTACTTGGTTCATATTCATCTTCTACCTTTCAAGTTTTACCCAAGTACAAAAGGTCCTAAAAGCACGCACACGGGACCATTCATGAATCATGCCAGAGTTGTGAAAGCAAACCATCGGCAGCCAGCCATGGAGAAGCACCATATCGCTCATTGTTACTCTAAACAACTACATTTACATCATTAATTTAACAAGCAGACAACCGCATTATGACCCAATCCACGGCAAAGTGTTGCAGACTCTCTATTAACTGTTTGTTTCGCCCCAGAAACAAGCCAACAACTCTTCTCTTCAAGTACACAATTTCTAAATCTTATGATAGAGCCCTTAAGATGCCAACACCGGAACTCGCTTTTGCCCCATAAAAGCTTCTCTAAGCATATGATATCCACTCCTGTAGTGCTCAATCGAAAAACATAGCTGCCTTATAGCCTCTCTTTTTTCCTCTGCTCCTTCCATTATCACTACTCTTTGCCTCTCGACCTCGCCCTCCAGTTCCTTCTCTCTTAATCTCAACTCCTCCACCTGCTTCTGTAACTTTTCAACACCTGATACCAGCTCCACACGTTCCCTCTGCAGTTTTTGCATATGCTCACCCATTTCATCCATCTGCTTCTCTTTAGAGCTCAATTTCTCTTTCAAAGTAATCACTTCTGCATGGAGCTGATCTCTTTCAGATTGTAAACCATTAAGCCCGTTTTTAAGATTCTCAATGCATTCTACCTTCTCAACAATACTCCTTTTCAACCGCTCAATCTCACCGTTAAGTATCTCCTCCAAATCCACCTTTTCCCCCTTCAACTTTCTGATCTCATCCTCTAAAAGACGAGCTTGATGTTCCCATTCTTTGAGCTGTTCCATCAACAGAACTCGTTCCTCAACTAGCTCAGACATTTCAGCCTTAACCTGTGCTTTCTCAGGAAAAATTTTCTGCTCAGCATCAGATACTGCTAGTTTTAAATCCCTGATCTCGTGATCTCGATCCGATAAACTAGCCTTCAACCTTGAAATTCTTTCTTGGAGCTTGGAGACCTCTCTTCTCTCTGCACTCAGCTTGGCCTTCCCTGAGGCAGTATCTTTTCGGGCAGCTTCGAGCTCCTCCTGTAAATGGTAGACTTTCTCAGCTGTTGTATTGTTCACAAGTTCAAGCTTTAATTTAGAAAGTGCTTTCTGCGATTCCTCAAGTCTTTCCTTAGTAAGTTTTAGCTCTTCTACCAGTTCCTCAACGTTGATGACTTGGCCAGCTTCCAAACCTGTACGATGTTCTTCAACCTCCGATTCCTGATTAGTGTAAATGACCAAGGGAACCTCATCCTCATGCCTTCGGGTTTCTTCCATCGTAGCAGTAGAAGACACAGACTCGGCCTGCAAACCATTGGTTAATTCTGATTGCCTGCACTTCTGGAGCTCGCTTTTCAACCTCATGATCTGTACTTGTGAAATCCGCAGCTTCTCATTTGTAATCTTTAGTTCTTCCTCATATCCAGCCATTCTAGCAAAAACATCTTCAGAATTTTCTGTTTTTGGATTTTCGTCCGTTGCCCCCCTGACTGGAAATGAACCATCCGCATTCATCCGGAGTTTTTCTTTAGCCTCACGGAGCTCAATCTCCAATTCAATCATCTTCCTGTTCAGCCCTTGATCACCACCAGAATAGTTGTTTACCGAGGAATCATCAGATTCAGGTTCAGATTCTGTCAAAGAAGATGATTCATCTCCTTCCTTCTGGCAAGTATCAGAGTTGCTTCCACCAGATCCAAGGAAGAAATCAAAGCCAGCAGCTCGTGGCCCAGACTTACGACGTCCAAGCCTTTGATCAGGAGAGGGCCATGAAGGGAACAGCTCAGAGCCGAGGTCAGACATACCAGAGCCCTGGGATTGTAGATCTGAAGGAATATTTTTTCGCAGCTCCCCTGTCACATGATCATAACGCTCTGCGAGCGAACGATACATGCGGTAGAACTCCTCAACATGAGAGATCAACACTGGCCTCTTCTGATAATACATCTCAGCCTTCTTGGCAAATGAATCTGCATCCTCTTCTATCAGCTTCAACATACGTTTGATGCTGCGATCCATCTCTAACATCAAAGATCGTTTGCTCAATTTTTTGCTTGGCATTTTGATCAAAAACTAACATTAGCATTCACCTATCTCGTTTGAATTGCAGAAATAAAAGATGGAGCTTACAGAACTAATTCCATGCCAAATGTTTGGGCAGTTGATGATGACAAACACATGTACCGTAAAATTCATGCAGAAACGAGGAAGAAGCTAAAATTTTGCAACTGCTGCCCGTCTCCCCAAATTTAACCCCACCCCTTTTAGAAATATGAAATGAACATGGAGAGCATTGTTAAATGAAAGGCAAAATTCTAGCATAAAGGAAACACATGTCATGACATTAGAGACATTGAAGGACAACAATTTCCTTAGTTATTTGGCAAGACACGGAGGGGATATTTGAGTAGGTAAAGGAAAAACAGCAGAAAGGCATTTATAGTAAAAGGAGGTACCACATAACAATCTCTGTATATTGGAGCACTCCCAATATAACTAATAATACATTCATGATTCATCTGTTCGTTTAGAGCCAGCTCATGCTCAACCGACCTCAAGCAATTTAAGATTTAAACATATGACGATCCATAATTAGTATTGGCAAAACATTAACTCTATTATGTTTAATATGTGTAGAAAAAATTAATATATCGTTAAAAATATAATTGAACCTATAATTTAGAGCCATTATATCAACGAAGTCCACCCTAAGGTATAGGCTTAAACTCCCAGAAGGCCCTATATTTCTCATAGAACATATAATATATATACTAAATATTGTTTCAATTTATAAATGTTTTTAGAATATAAAATAATATATTTGCCATAAAAATTATTTTCTTATAATATTGAAATTACAAACAAATAATGTATACAATTTTCTAAAAAAAAAACTTCAATTTAAATGCAAATCTTTTTAATAAACTTATAATCAGCCCATAAATTTCTTTGGTCGGCTACCATTTCAAATTTATTTATTTTATGTTTTCTTTACAACTAAATCTTTTCAAATTTATTTAAATAAAACTTAAACATTAATATAACCCCTTAAAATTCTCTAAGTTACCTTTTTTTTTCTCGTTTTAATTTCTTGTTTTTTCACCATTAAAATTAATCAAATCAATTATGTCACAAGAAAGATTAAATAAATTAGTAATATTATTTATTTTAAAAGATATATTAATGAACTTAGATTATCAAATATTAATACATAATTTTACATCTAATTCAGTGATAGAAAAAATTAGATGATATATTGATATTCTATATTAAGATCCCTACTAAAATTTTTTTCCTAAGGCTTCATATCATCTTCAGCCTCCCCACATATCAACCATACCTAAACAAAATTTAGAACATGACTCAAATTTAAATGCTTGTAACTTGATTATTATAACGGGATGGTTGAAGAATCACTAAAAATAGTTAAGATAACAAAAAATGAAAAATTACAATGAGAGAGACAAATTTTCTAATTTATAGGTAGAAGATGAAGAGTCAAATTTTTGTCTAAGATACTTATAGAATTTCCTAAAAATCCACCTGCTACCAAGAAATCTTTATTGACTACAACGTTTTGTAAAGAGCTTTTAGAACTCTTTTAAAATAAACGAATTTTTTGGGTCCGACTGTTCAATGAAAAAGACAAAAAATTTAAAAATGCAGTGGTATTATTTGTCGAAGAAGTACGCGTAACATTCACTAAAAGTTAAAAATTACTTAAATACCGAGTTTATTAATTAATATTTTATATTGTAAAAATTAGTATTAACCTATATATGAACAAAATAAAAAGAGGGTTGGTATGAGTTGTTAGGTAAGATTCGATGTTGGCAGCAATAGCAATAGCAAGTAAGTAGGTATAGTAACTCACCCTCGAGATTCTCCGTGAGCCATCTAGAGTTTTTGGGGCTGATGTGACTATCCCACCACCAAGAATGAGACTTACGAGATTCCAACCTCTTCAATTTCCTATCGCTCTGACCCGCAGGATTAAAAAGATGTTAATCGACCAAAAACAGAAAAAATAAATAAGGGAATGAATTTGAAGGATGGTTGGTTAATGGCTGGAAGACAGACATCAAAAAGAACGAAAGAGTACATACCAATGAGTTAGCCATTCAGATTGAGGTGGAGTTGCAGTTACAGTTGGACCCAGAGAGAGGGGCAAGCGCTGAAATTTGTAAAGCTTCACTCAGCTACCTCTACCTGAAAGCCCGCGAGAAGAAGGGAACCGAACAGAAAGCCACTTAACTTTACTTTCTCAATAAATCAGACAGGCTACGGGTGGTAGACTAGTACAATTGCAATTGCAAATGGGCCTTAACTTTAAGGCGGCCCATTAAGAGTGTATGTGCATCATAGCAATAGCATAGGTACTTCCAATTTTCAAATCGAATTAATAAATTATCCACTTGACTTGACTTGCAGGCGCACGACACCTCCACTCCGGCTCGCTTCTGCTAGTGTCCACGCGTTTGCTTTTAATAAACACGGACACGGACCCCAACCCTCTTAAATACGTACGCATAAATACGCGCTAATGCTCCAGCTCTGCCCACCGTCTACAATAATCATCATTCCAACCAATATATTAATTTAAATTATTTCTTTACAACAAAATGTAATTCATCCCAACGTAAACATAGCTCACCAAATGCACTTCTTCCGGGTACTCGTACTGAAAAAGAAAATTTTAATTCATGCCAAACAAGATGATTCGAGATATCACCGATTCTGACAATAGCCAGTTCAAAAATACCAGACGTTTGATTTGAATTTTGAGGGGGAGTCGGCGTGAAATCGAAATCAGAATACAATTAAAAGATGAGGAGAGAACAAGCTTACAGTAAGCTAGAAGATGAGACTGGACTGAGAGGCGGATTCAGCGGCTCAAATGCAACTCACTGCCCATCAAATCCATCGGAAGTTGATCCCACAAATAGCTACTGGAGACTGGAGAGATCGAAGAGCCACGAAATCAAAGGCTGTATCATATAAATAGTTACTATACTGGCATTGGAGTCTGGAGAGATCCAAGAGCCACAAAACCAAGTGGAAGCGGTGGAGGAGGAGGTCTGATTAAGAAAACATTCAACAGACACTGCCTGCACTGTTTTCCCCCATTTTCCCAACCATGCTTCCATTTCACATTATGTTCCCCAAATTACCATATTACCCTTCCCTGTTGACTTTTCATGCTTTCCACGCGACGCCACCAACAAGATATTTAAAATGAAACATGCAGATCACGATTGTGGTATTTTTCTTTGCCACCCCATGCATGTGCTGTTCCATCCACTCAACATTTATTACTTTATCCATGTGCTCCAGTTAATTTTACATATCTTGTAGTTACATACGAGTTGCGATTAATTTATGCATAACTCAATTTTGGTTATAGAGATGGCGTTCAATGTTTGAAATTAAAACTATTCTTGCCTAATGATTGGCCATATATAAAATCTGACCAGTTACTATTTTGACATCCAAGTAATAATCGAGAGGAGTTAATTTTCAAGTACACAAGGACGTAACGCAATATATTTCATTAGTGTAACATGGCGATACTGCTGCTGCCTCAAATTCAGCAAGTAGCGAATAGATAAATTGTTCTCTGTTTCTTTAACGCTTTTTCCCCATCTCAATCCAAATCCTCAACCCGGAAGAGAGGTACCGACTCTCCTCTGTTCCCCAAAATAAGCAATCTACTGTTATTAAAGTAGAAGCTCATTCTGTCCAATTCAACAAAACGTGGAATATTTATAAGACTCTACTAAAGTGTGCCACGTGGATAGAGAGTAAAAACATAATAACTCAATCATAAACTTGAAATTCTAGAACCGCCAATTACATCACATTCACTTCAAAATTCACTTACGGTCTCATTCAAATAGTAAACCAAGTTTTAAAAAGAGGCTATTACTCAAAAACATCTGAAAAAGAGGCTATTACTCAAAAACATCTGAGCTTCAATATAGAGGACAGAGTAAAAATCATGTTCCAGCATTCCTCCGGCCAACACGAGCAACAAAGCCAGCTTTAATTGGAGCAACCGATCGTCCAGAACCACACTGTTAATCACACACAAAACATAATAAGCCTTAAGTTAAAACAAGGGAAAGATGATGCAGCGACACTAGTCAGAAGACTATGAGCACATGAACGGATGAGAAAACTTGTAAAATGGAATAGAATAACGAAAGCCTCCAGTTAATCATATCTTTGAATATGGAAATAAACTACATAATTATATTAATATTCATGAGGTTCTCTATCTCAAAACCAATTGGTGATGAGAGGAGTAGTCCACGTCTATTATAAACCATTATAAGATCCTCTAGATCCTCTAGATCCTCTTTCTTTTCGATGTGAATGTGGGATCCTTAACAAATTAAAGGATGACTTTCCATGGAAAGGTCAAATCTTCAGCCTCTTTCTAGTAGGAAGAAGCACAGGGTAAATAAAAAATAATCTATCAAAATATCAAAGCTCAGATCAGCAATCCAGGATATAAAATAATTTTAAAATGAAGGCTAATATCTCATTCCATCATTTACCCTAACAATAAAAAATCATACCAATTACAAAAGAACTGCGGTAAGTTTATAGAAAGGTAGCCCATAACTGCCCCTAGCTTTCTTAATGTTGGTAATGTCATATGCAAATAACTACATTGTGTTTCTGTTTGGTCATTGCAGTGATTTGTAAGTGCCAAACAAACGTTATACACAAATCACAACTTTGCAATAGCCAATAACATGCATCGCCTTCTCCAGCATGTAATTTCCAGAACTAGGAAAAACGCACAAAAACCGTACCTTCTCACATCTGAGAAAGAAGAGTCGATTTTCCTTTGAAAGGATAGTGTCTGGACTTTTGCACCCAATACAAATCACATATTCATCTGAAAGAAAAAAATTAATAAGGGGGAAAAAAGGAAAATATATATATATATTATATATTTATTCTAATTAAGATGAACTTTCATTCAGAAGAATGTAAGAATAGAAAAGAGGGAAAACATCAAGGCAGGTCGAAATTATAAGTGAATAAATCACTCGGTAACAAGATGTACCAGCAGAGACACCACCAGTAATCAAGCTTTAAGCAAACATCAATCACGTTCAATAGTTGGAATTGAAACAAGTAAATTTTTTATAAATGGACTCCCACCGCCTCCCCCTCCCCCTATATATATATATATATGACTGACAAGGACTTTGTACAACACCACGCACTGACTTTCTCATTCACAGTTTTTCACTCATCTCATCTCGAAACAAGTTCATGAATTTCTCTATTATATTTAGCACAGAAGAGTTCAGCCTCTGATGCTAGTAATGGAAAGAGTAAACAGATCAAGTTAAATGTCATAGATGAAAATGATAAAATAGGGGAATAAGGCAAAATCAATGGATATATTCATTATCCATCAATTCTTGATCTTCTTAACCTGCTAGTAAAACAAATAAGAAAAGAGAAACAGCCATCCTTCTGAATTTAGGTCAAATTTGGCAGAAAAAGCTCATGAACTAAATCAACGAGAGGCCACTTACTGACATATCGACGCAGAATTCCTTCAAAGTTCTTTGGTGCAAACCTTCCTTTAACTACTAATCTCTGCTGTCCATCAAGAGATCCACTGGTTCCCAGTTCAGCCAATAAGAAAGCCATGACATGGTCTGGCTGCCGATGCATCCTATTTTATTTTTATTTTTAGGGACAGACATGTTCTAAAGATCAGCATATAGTTCAATTTAAACCATCAAGCATCTACCATAGAAATAGAAAGAGAAGAGGGCTGGGAGGCTAAAAGAAATGCATGTTGCTGCTATTTTGATAGGAAAACTAAATACTTTCACAGTAGCAATCCGCACTTCTTTTTAATACCCATATAAATGTTGACCTTTCAAGTTCACAGGATCAAAAACTAAAAATTACAAATCAACTGTCAGGATTAACCCATAGCCTTTCGTGAATAGTGAACGATAATTGACAAGAAAATCATGGTGCATAAAGCAAATTTCAGCACTGGATACAAATATGATGATCACGGTGATGGAATGATAAACAAATAAATTCACTTTTCATAATGATAAACAAGCAACTCCCTCTCCGTTATTTTAAAACACTTATTAACTAATTATAAATTCTTTAGTCCCTTGGGAGATGGCGCGGTGGCAAGGACATGGGACCTTGTGATATCACCTCTCATGAAGTCTTGTGTTCAAGTCATGCACTAGTTACAATGTTACTCAGCCCAGGTAACGAGTCCTGGTTATAGAGATCCACTAACATAAGCCACACGGCATTGATTCCGGGAAATAAAAAAATAATAATAATTATAAATACTTTAAAAGATTCCCATATCATTTGGTTGAATGAGAAAAAAGTGCTTCTAAAACTAAAAAGCAACTTGAACAGCCCAAACTCACTCTTACTAGATTCATATAGATCACAAGTTATTGTAAATCAACAAGACTCAGAACTAACATGATACAGATACGTGTCATATACTACCGAGGCAAATGCTAGAGAACAAAATCTACCAATGAATATAACATGTCCGTACGTTCATGTAGTTGTGTTCAAAAGTTTCACGAGAAACAAATAAAACCTCTCTAGAGAAAAAAAAATACTTAATATTACATCAAACTAGAGATCGCATTCATGCAGCAAACAATAGTTTAATTAACATAAGAAATACTATATAATAATCATATAAACTAATTCATTAAATTGAATAACACAAAACAATGGATAAAGAATGGATACAGAATGCATCTGAAGTGCAAACAGGCAAAAATATATGATCGTGATGTGATAAAAATCCACAAAGAAAAAAACATGGTCATATAAGGCTAATGAACACATACGTTTTACATAGATCCATGAAATTGACAAAAACAGTTTTCTTTGTGCCCTCACGAAGAACTTGTGGGGGCCTCATAACTGTTCTACGCCTATCCCCGGCAAGTTCCGGATTATTTTCTCTAAGAATGTTGAATACCCGTCCAAGAAGCTGCACAGAAAGACAACAAAAAAGCATCAGTTACCTACTGTAGCCAAGGTCCACAACAAACCTGCAGCAAATAGATTTTTTTAAAAAAATGGAAAAGAAATAAAAATAAGAAAGCCAAAAAAATCTTAAACAATCAATTAGTGTTAGTAATACCAAGATCCTAACAATACAACATTTATAATAAATATAACGTTTATAAGAATATATTATTGTATAAGAACATTAAAAATCTTATGTCTTATCTCATTTGAGACAAAGCAGTAAAAAACAAATTCCATTACGAGTGTTTTTGAGGATCTAAACTATTTTCAAGACTTCAATTTAGTTCAAAACCAAAAGCAGTATTTAAAATTGTTATGGCAGATTTTTACTTTCCAGAGACCAGGGACATTGTAACAACTAACTGCCTTATGTCTCATCGTCTTTTTTACCATAAAGGAACCAACATTTATAAAGATAAATGAAAATAAGACACGAACACACAAAACATGACCTGGCCAACATAGGGACAACAAAAATTAAAGAAAAAATTCTCTATATATATCCATGTGTCTGGACCAGCTTACACGCACCTCGACTATTCACGGGCCAACCGCCTAACCCTACTACATTTGGTTGACAAGGAAACTCGTAGGGTAGTGAATCCTAGGTAGGTAGGTGGCCACCATGGTTTGAATTCATTCCCTCTAAGTCCTTTGCTATTTACATTGGCCCTCATTGACCACTTGGGTCATCCCATGATGATTAACAATATAGCTCATAGACTTGAGTAATCAATCATAGATATACCGAAAGCAACACCACACCTTTGAAAGAGTGTAACACCAATTCATTCAAATCCTCCAAAACAATCCATATTTGTTGAAATGTTTTGCTTGAAGACATTAAATAAAAAAGAAATACAAAATAGAAGACAAAAATCTCAAAGACGCTTATAGCTGACTGCACAACACCATCTAGCCAAGAATTTGACATTGCATGTACCTTAAATTTGATTACCATAACTTGTGCCATGAGAAGCATTTAAACATAGAATACTACCCTTAATACCTTCATGACTCAAATAGCAAAGTGTATATATATATATTATAGACTGTAATAATTAACATTAGAATTCCAGTTGTTCTTAATGGCACATATTATTCACCTTACATCAAACCTGAATGGTTGGAAGCACCCCAAATTCTAAGTGCACAACCTAACAACAAACCTCCCTTACGCCCAATGAGTCCTAGATGTTCTAAATAAGTAGTAATCTAGAATAGACTAACTGCAAAATAATAGGAAAAGGGTAGTCCCACACCAACTGTAAGAATGACTCAATGAGAAACCAAAAAAATAATCAATATCCAATAAAATGCAACTCATAACAAATTGCATTAAAAAATTATATGAAAAAATCTCACAATTTTAAAATATAGCAATACCTCCTCATATTCATAATCACGATCACTTCCCTCCCAAGGAAAACGATATTGTAGAACAATACGCTCTCGTTCTTCATTCTCCCCCACTTGATCTGAAATTATAATCACTTTGTTGAAGAAAAACAGCTACACATGAAGAAACTGAATAATATTGGGAGAAGAGACGGTGAACACAAAAGTATGTCCAACAGCTGCTGCAGATTATATTTTTTCAATAAAAAACTTTGTTTAATATATGTGCACTTCCATGGAAACTATACACCTTCAATCTGGAAGACTAGCTCTGAGAATCACAAATTCTTTCAGTTGCATAGCATAAAACTAACATCAACAATTTTAGGGGTATGGAAAGTGACTTGGGATCTCATTAGATTTAATGTCTTTTTATGGGGTCAATTTCAAAGTTGTTCGGTAATTATCAATCATATAGGCTTTATTCTTTTGGATGGAGACCCTTTCTTTAGTTGGGGTTTTACCTTGCAGACTTTTTTTTATGCCTTTTTCATATGCTTTTGTTTTCCTTTGTCTCAATGAAAAGTTTGGTTTCTCATAAAAATTAAAAAGAAAAAAACTAACATCGACATTTTTCTTTTCTTTCAAAAAAAAAATTTTTTTTTTAGTACCAATATTTTCATATGCCTTTTTTTTCTTCCAAAAAAATATTAATTATTCATAAATTTTATTTTCTATCCGTTAACTCAGCAAAAAGAACATACTGTACAGATAGATAGAGAGATTCAAAAATTAAAAACAATAATAAAAAATGAATATGAAAAAGATAAGATATAACAAAGTAGTTCTGATATGTAATGCTTTGCTTACCATCCAAATCCTCTGTGGCATCTACACCATCATCATTCAATGAGCTGGCCTCTACCTAGAATTAGAAAACCAAATGAATCATCAAATAGAGCTTAATTTAGACTAAATAAAAATAAGAACTTACTGGTTTTTTCTTCTTCTTTTTAAGTCCAGAAAAGGTCGTAGTCTCGAGTCCTTCAGAAACTGCAGGCCAAAATATATAAAAATCCATAAATCGATAATCCTTAGATATCAAGTTACCGACAAAAAAAAATATCGTGAAACAATCATGCAAGGTCCAATTTTCATACCTGACAAGCTTTCGGTTTTCTCTGCTAACTTGTCAACAGACTCATCAGCCGGATCCTGAAGCACAACCTTCTTCTTCTTCTTCTTCTTAGTTGGATCAAAGGGGGCAATCTGCATAGAATAAACCATACATATAGATCACGGTGTTGCACCAATGCTTGCACATGAATAGATAACTATAATATAAAGGTCCACATACATAAAAACACATTAAAAAAAGATTTGCAACTTTTATACTTAGCACCTGTAAAAATCAAATAGAAAAATCATCGAGAACTTGGATGGCATGTGTTATCCAAACAAGACCATAAAACTGCTAGCATACCATTAAGTAAACTGGACTAATCACTGATGACTATAACGTAAGGCCAATAAGCAATAACCTAATCTGAACCTATAAAATGCTTTTTCAGATGTATATTGTGTAATTGGGAAAGATTTGGAATTTTGGAGTCAGTCAAATTACTTTACGAAGGCGTTGCTGAAGCTGAGCAGAGCAATTATTATAGATACTACTTGTTCAGGTTGTGCTTGGATACATTTTAGAAATGTTTAGACATTTTGATGATGAATTCGAGTGCTTTTCTGACTGCTTGATTTATAGCTATATTTGGATATAATATAAATGTGACTATTTAAGGTTTTTTGTTTACTGGATTTTGAGTACTTTATTAGTTGGTTCAAAATTTTCTAATTTAACTTTGAGTACTTAATTTCAACAATCTCTGCTCCGCCAATTTACAACTCAAAGATTTAGGTTTCCTTCGGTGAGTACTTGCAAGTTGCAAGGGAAAAAAATGGAAAAAATCTGCAATGTTTGCAAAACCTGAATGCAAATATATTTGCTGGAGATAACAGATAAGCAGAAGAGAAACTCACATCTGCCACCTGTTCGTTCACGTCATTCTGAACTTCGTCCGCCATGATTCCTGCAAGAAGGCAGAAGAGCATTTATGAGTTAAAACATAAACACCATCAAGCAAACAATAAATCATCAGTTAACAAATTAAAACTGGGGTCATGGACAATTGATTGGAATTCGAAAAACGAACATGAAAACTCGCTCACTGGAGACTCTGAAACGAAAAACGAACGAAGAACATTTAATCAAAGAGGGGAAAATATATAGGAGGATAAACACGTTTTCCATCCTCACAAGAGAGGATTGCATAAGAGAACTGGAACGGAAAACTAAGCCGGACGGTATAAAAGACAGTAGGAAACCCTAGACCCTATCGAACAAACAATCGAAATAACAAGAGCCATGATTAGAACCAGTGCTTCAAAATGAATTCGAAAAAGATCACCGTCTAAATTTCTAATTGAAAAAATCATGCATTGGTTCATCCTTATCTAGCTCCATCATGAAGAGATAAATCATTGATGATGCAACAAATATTGCATCATATAGATTTAATTCATTTCTCAATTAGTACAAAATCAGTTATATTGGTGCAGTTTCTATAACATATATGTAAACCCATAAGATTATTCAGAGTAAAAAATCAGACATCATGGGGATGAGAGAGTTTTTTCTAAAGCCTTCCATAAAGCAAGATACAAGATAAAATGCTTACCTTCTTCAATAGTAACAGACGACAACAGTGAAGACGAGGGCGATAGAGAAGACGAGGGCGAGAGTCGAGACGACGGCGTGGGAGAGAAGTTCTGCAAGAATGGAAGAGAAGCTCGCGCTTTTACTCGCCCAGTCCCAGCGTTATTCAAATCAATTTCTCTGTGTGAAATTTTCTTTAATTCGGCAGAAAATTGCCATTGTTTTGGGCCATGGTCATGACAGGCCCAATTCATGCTTAGGCATAGTGGATCTGTTTGTTGAATTTGGCTTTCAGGTCGGTTGGTCAACTTTTATTCGACAAAGACACGCTGTGTCATCATTTAACTAATTATATTAAGAACCAAAATTTATCGGTGGAATAGATACAACTATTAAATTCTAGCCAATACGAACATAGCTTAACGATTAAGATATTACTTTATCTTTTGAGGTTGAAGATTTAAATTTCCAAACACATATTTGTTATACTAAAAACGAAAACCATCAAAATTCATAGATATTTTTACACAAGTCATATTTTTTCGGTTTCAAAACTTAGTTAAAACTGTAATTATATTCCTTAAAAAAAAACATAAGAAAACAAATACTGCCAAATTAACTTTAACTTTTATTGGTTTATTACTTTCTTCTATCCAACCAATATGAATCCCAAGCAAGGCAAGGAATTAGGGCAAATAAGTTATTCTTATTCCTTGATATCAAACTTTTCAAGGCAATGGAATAAGTTTGATGGAAGAAATGCTTGCTTTTGCTGAGATTAATACCCTAATGCCAAATATTTCACTATCATTTCATCACAAAATTTATATCATCTATTTTTTTAATTATTAAGAATCTGAGGAAAATTCGATTAGATTATTTTTGCTCCAATCGAGTCTTACTTTCTGTTTTAGTACCTATTGTTTAAGAATACCATAACGATGAAGAATTGAAATGGTAAATTTATGGATTGAAGTATTTATTAGAGAATAAAATAAAATTATTAAATCTACCCTAGTTTTTTTAGTTTTATTGGTGATTTCCTCTTATTCTACCCTCATATATATCATCGAAATTTTTACAATAAATTGACATGACATTCATATTAACAGAAATATAAAAGGCTCACTTCCCGTTTTGTCGGCCGCAGCCTGCAGGTGTCGTGGCACATTTTTTAGTGCCTTGGTGTCATGACATGACATTTTCTCCGGTATTTGGGCTCTTGTATTGTCTTCTTTATTCACTCGGGCTATGATTCTATCTCAATTTGATCCACTTATGTCTCGTTTGTTGTTGATTATTCATTCTTGCAAAATATATTTTATGTACGTAAATATATCATAAAGGAACGAAAACTAACAAATAATTCGAATATAAATCTAATGAAATGTAGCTCATGTAGTGCACTATCAAGCCTTTGCCTTTGTGCAAACTCTCCGGTATATTCCATTGTATGGTTGAACTTAGGATGTATTGCTAAGGAACATTATTTAAGCTTGGTTGTTCACCAAACTTGTGAGTAATTCGACCTCGAGTATATATACTAGTAATCTGTCTACTTGTGGTATTTGATTGCAAAGATAATCCGTCTAACTTTTCTCTTCGAGTTGAACCATCTATACCATTGGATTTGAGTGGCTAGAGATTCGTTTATTCATCCACTTGAGTTGTCGTATTACAACTTAATCGAGCCCAAAAACCTAATAGAACACAACACTGGGCACCTAAAACATAAAAATAGAAAAAGCAAATATTGTACGTGAGAGGGTAGCGTCGCGGTGCTACTCTATAGTGCCAGGGCGCTTCGAAGATTTGTTATCCCACCATGGCATTCACTAAATGGTGTCATGGTGTTGTCGCGATGATTTTCTTAGGCTCGGGATCATGGAGATTGACTCAAGGAGGATCAGTCGACGTAACTTAATTAGTTTCCTCCTTTTCCTTGATTTTTTCTAGTTTTGTTATTGAACTTTCTTTGGATTTTTTTTTATATGAATATGTGTTAGCTAAATTTTTTGTCTTAAGGATTAATGTAGCCATTGAACTTTATAGATTGATTGCTTAATTCTCTTGATTGAATAATTTTGAAATATTCTATTTGTATTTCTCCATGATTCATGCCTCTAATTTAATGGTCATAGATTAATTGATCATAGACTTAAAATCTTACGCTCGGAAAGGATGATTTAGGGTTAGAACTAGGACGCATGAATGAGGTTTTAAGATTGGGAGATTTCAAAGTCTTGTAGAGGTTGTTAACGACATTGTTCACTAAATGTCTTACTTGTTACTAAAACTAGATAGCAATATTGGTTTCTTAATTAGTAATGAAAATCAAGTTGCACTCAAACAAGACCGTTAAAATTTGAGAGTTCTTGTTTTATAATTAATAGTTTATTCAATCCTAATTAATTAAATAATTGGTTCATAGATTAAAAGAACTATTATACTAATCTAAAATTTGCCCAAAAAAAATTAATATACTTAGCAAAAAAATTTAGAGGAAGCTATATTTACAAATATGACAAATAAAATAATAATAATAAAAGACAAAATAAGAATATAAAATTTATCTCGTATCTCCCATTAAGAGGTGGTGAGTGAGTTCGAATCTACATCCACCTGTTGTACTAAAAAAATATTTTTAAATAGAAGTTTGTAACTTTGTACAAATATTCAATATTCATTCTTATTTTGGTATTCACATCGAGATTATAAGTTTGATTAGCAACATAAATCCAACGTCTGATTTATAGAGAAAAAAATAATAATAAATGTTAGACAAAGTGAATTAATCCCAACCAGTCGAGAGATTTAAACAAAGAAGTGAAGGAGATCAAAACAAGAGTTGTCTAACATTAATTTTAATTAAATAGGAGAGGTTTTTATAAAAAACAAAAACAAAAACAAAAATAAGAGGAGAGGAGATGTTAGCTAGGTGGTGTAGATGAGGGAAGCACTCTGAAAGGAAACATTCTAATGTTACAGGAAGCCTCCTTTATGCGGTTTACAAGTAGAAATTGTTGAACATCGTCGCACCGTACATGGATTGGCACCTTCTCGATGCTGAATATCCCAGCGTGGAAACCAATTATGGCTTCCATTCTCACCTGCGCCACCATTTCCACTCTTTTCTTCTCCTCTTGTATTTCCAACGCGTTCTCTCTATCCACACCATCTCCCACCACATTGGTGGTTACGTTCAAGTACGTGGTGTTTCCAGGGCCGTGAGAGAAACCGCCAATCACGCTCTTCCCCAATTTCACATCATCCGACGCCACATTCACCACAATATCGCCGTAACTCAACTCTATTTTGTCATTCTTGTTCCTCACCGTCATTGATATATCTACTCGTGCGTCTAGGACGGCATTGTTATGATTCTGATTTGTGGAGTCGTGGATCTCAAATTTGGAGAGTTGCAACGTTTTTATGCTGATTTCTGGCAGGCCCGACTGAAGGAAGGACATGAATATTACGGCAATGATTAGTAGGGCGAGAAGAATTCCGAAAGCCCCAATACATATCCTTCCGCAATAAGCAAATAAACGACGACGACATTTTGTGCCGGAGTCGGATGTTGCGCGATGTGTAGGAAGGGATTCGGAGAAGTAAACGCGACGCTCTCCTTTGTCTTCATTATAATTATTATTCATTGTGGTTGTGGGTTGTGGGCTGTGGGTACCCCTCCTCTCGCCCCCACGGCACTCACACAGCTCCCGAGTTGTAATTATAAAGGACAAATGTGATTCTCCATCGCCCAAAAGGATAACAAATTTATAGTTACCTAACTCGTGAAACTTGACAGATGCGAAAGATGCGAATGCCCTTTAAAGTAAACTCGACACTAAATTCAGGTTGCCACCCTCTCACCTCTCCATCACCAATTATTTAAGTTTGTATTTTTACAAAATTTCTAAAAATAGATCATTTTCAAACAATTCTTACCTGATCCTCTTCATGCCAGTATAAATGTATGCCGTTTTACCTTTTTTGTTTTTTTAGACAGTATATAGCTTTGTATATTATTTAGTTGTAAATATTCAATTCAAGTGATGTTTTTTTTTTGGAAATACAACGACATTAGTGATTAAAAGATGTTGGATTAGACCAATATCTTGTTCATTTCATTCTCTCGTTAAATATACTTCAATTTCAAGTGTTGCACCATTCCCTTTTGCAATTGCAACATTATCATCAGCCAGGTAATCATATAAATGTCTATCAATTTAGTAAGATCAACTCAACAGATGTTTGAGCAAGAGAGGCACTTGATCTGCTAATAATCCATTGCCTGTTTAGGCTCCATGTAAAAAGATTACCACACCAAAGAATAAACAAAAACCTGTTGTAGATACCTTACCTTAACAGCATGCAGGATTGGAGGCAATTATAAAATATTAACTTCAGTTACCAAGAGTCTGCTATAAGAAAGTGCTTCAGCCTTTGTGCAATAGTCGTTTGAGCTTAAAACTTCAGCCTTGTGATGTAGCAAGGAAGAAACGAAATCTTTTGAGCTTGCTGATGTTTCAAACCTCGATATAACAAATCTTCAATAAAGAAAAGTTCGCACCCTGAAAAAGATAATAACAAATATGTACATAAATAGTTTCTCCCATAAAATTACAAAATAGTTTTTTAAAAAATCAGAGATAATATGATAACAAAAAAAGGCAAAAACCTAGGGCTCGATAGAGGAAATCCCACTCAAAAACGTTATTAGAAGAAACCCTTCATTAATTAAAAATACATTACGGTCATGAAAGAAGATTTTTGGGTAAGAATACTCCAACTAGAGGCAAACTGTACATCATTACAAAAAAATATTTATCGAAGACTGTCCATCAAAAAAAATAAAAAATAAAAAAATCTTTTGGTTTCTCTCTAACCAAACAAGTAGCAGTAAATCTCTTATTGCAAAGCTAAAATTTTGACTAATAATCAGTACTTTTAATTTTTGAGAAGTAAAGAGAGATACCAAAAATGTCAATCATAAAGACGAGCCACCCTCTGGCCACAAAGGGATGGTTGCGGAAGAGATGATTTTGAGCTTCTCCATCGTGAGAACAAAGACAGCAACTCAAGGGAGAGAGAGCCCTATTGGGGTGTCTCTTTTGAAGTCTGTTATCTTTGATACTTTGCTTTCCATACAAGGTTCACGAAGATGAGCTTTAATTTTGGAGCAGCTGAAGTAACACAGTAGTTGTTAAAAAAAAAAACTGAATAGCATTCTAAATGATATTTACCTAACACCCTTAGAGTTAAAAACACTATGAAGTAACGACTTTTCCTTTTTTCATATATATAACTACGAAATAACAATTCTTAATGACTTTCAATCCAACATATAACATATATTAAAATAAACAAGAATGCTACAACAATACATACAACATATATTAAAATAAACAAGAATGCTACAACAATACATACGGATAGCTCATTACATATCCATTTAGGTATTTACATCTCCTGAATTAGTCAAGGAAGATACTATTTGATTTACAAAGCCTCCAAGACTGTGCAACATTGAAGGATTTCGTCATTCAACAAATTAAAGAATCCAACCGTTTAATGGGAATAACAAAACTAAGATTCTCATGTCAATCAAAAACCTCCTCATCAGAATCAGATTGGCTATCAAACTTGATGTATTCAGTCTCAGTTGAAGCCTTCTCCAAGTCAACGTTGTCTGCCTGTAGACTATCTTTCAAGTCATCCAGAATGAAAGGTTCGGTTAGTTTCCAGAACCATATGGCATTGCTTCCTAGTAAACCTATCCAATACACTCTACCCTTCCTTTTCACCTTGCAATTCATGGACTTTGCTTTCAAAGATTTAACAACCTTCTCAACACCCTCATGACTTCCCTTCAGCTTTAATAAAATATCCCCCGATGATAGTCTGGAGCCACCATACATATACCAGTATGCAAGAACACGAGGTGAAAGCCACCTGTGAATTAGATTAGGGATTGCAGGATGGCCTCGTGGCCAAAACTGATCTGCATAGAAACCAAAATATGAATGAGAAATAGTGCAGAATTTATATGGTATATCTTTATCACTATCGCTCAACTTTGAAGCAGGATGCAACCACTCGTGATATTGCTCATATATGTGTCTACTCAAAAGAGATTGAGTGCTACATTTTTGGTGGAATTCAAATTGGATTCTATGATTCTTCCTCCCTTCATCAGATTCTATTTCCAGGCCACCTAACAGCAATCATACTAAAACCTCCCTTTGTTCTTTACTCAAGTTCAAGCTTACTGGCTTCTTGACCTCATTCCTACTCAAGCTTAGGACATATTCAAGTTTCTCCATTAATGGAGGCTCAATGTCATACTTTTTCTGACACATCAAATCATATATTTTTTCAGCCTTCAAATAATCCCCAGATAAAAGATACCCACTTAAAATGATGTGGCATGAACAAGCATTTACACCAATTTCACCATTTGTTTTCATCTGACTAAATATTTCTTCAACCCTGTTGAGATCACCAACTTTTACCAAAGAGTCCAAATATATGTTGTAAATAGTACGATTGGGTTTACACTGCTCGAGGCACTGGGAGAAGGTTAACTGTAACTTATCATGTAAGCCTAAATTGAAAAACATACTCATCAGATCAACATAAGCTGGCACSAGGGGTTTTAAATTACTCTTTATGAAGTCCTCCATGATGGATTCTGCAAGTTCTATCTCTTGAAATTTACATAAAATCCCAATAATTCTCTGATATGCTGTAGCACTTGCCGAATTCAACTGCTCCATCTCCCTAAATATCTCCAAAGCTTTCATCGGGCAGCCCACCTTTGCATAGACTTCCATTTTGTAAACAAAAGCCTAAGATGACATGCCACCATCAAAATTCTCAAGTTTAAGCCACGTTCTTTCTGCTTCTATATCATCTCCCATTTTTGAGCTTGCTCTCAAGATGGACAAAAGGACCTCTCTTTCTTCCTCGATTCCTGCTGGTAGCATTTCTTTCCTTAGTGACACAATCCTTTCTTTGTCTATTGTATCCTGATAACTGTGCAGCCAAATTAGACCACCATATATATCTTTATGCAACTCGAGTCCAGTTGTTACCAAATTGTGATATATAAACTCAGCCTGTTTAAGATAATGTTTTGAAAAATCCCCTGGTTTGCTCACAAGAGCTCTAAAGAGAGAATTGTGCAAGCTAAGACGTGGTTTGTAACCACCTAGCTGAATCATACGATTGTAAATGGTGATTGCTTCCTCTATGCATCCTCGGGCAGGCGCACTCAGGTAAGCAACAATCAAAATATGGGTAGGTAGATTCACTTGGTACACATCCCTGATTAATTATATCATCAAATACCTCCCGACACTTTGAGAACTTTCGCTCCTTGCCCATGTAATCAGCAAGCTTAGTAGCTAGAGCATAATTAAATCGGTACCAATGTTGTTGCATCGTCCACTTGTACACCTAATTATAAAAATGAAGAAAAACAAGAAACTGAAAGAAAATTCTATCACAAACATAGATTATAAAGAATAGCAAATTAAAGAGAACTATCAAATTTTACATTTTTAGTCCAACAATTTCATTATATTCCAAATATTGTTCATGTTACATTCATGTTCAGGGTCGTACTATTGTATTCCAAAAAAATGTCTCTCCAGTATTATAATCCAAATAGAATGATAAAGCACAACAATGTTGCCGCAATTGCACACTTCCAATGAAATTCCTATTATTCAAAAAATCCATAATTGCATTGCAAGTAGCTATTCCTATTCTCGTACGAGTATTTCGCGGGTGTTAATGTATGACATAATAGAATCAAAAGAAAGAGAAAAAATCATCACAAACCCTAAACGCAGTCTCGTTCTCACGAATACGCAAACAATGCACGATGAGATAGGCCGCATCATCCTGCCTCATCCATTTCCGCTGAGCATTAAGCAGCCGAACTAAGGTTCCCGGCTTATGCGCTGGCAATTCCTTACAAAGCCAAGCCAATTTGGATCTTCGCCACTGCTCCGGCAACTCGTCCAGCTCTTTGACTTCAAGCGCAGGATTTCCCAAGTGTTTCAAATCTGCCGACGCATAACTATTTTCAAAATGAAAACCCTCAGCCCTGTTACTGTATGGAGAACACGAGTGCTCCTCAGAGTCGGACGGGGAATCCTGGTCGTATAACAACTGTTCGACGAAGAAACATGAAGCGAAGGCAGGAATTCGCGGAAGTTTCGGTCGTCGTTTTGCGGAAAATGTTCGAAAGTGGCGATGGCGTTGAGAGAGGGAATGAGTGAGAGAATGGAAAAGAGTGAGAGTGGCAAAGGCAGAGGTGCAAATGGACATGGAGATGACAGAAATAGGGTTACAAACTGAGGGGAGCAAGGGAGGGCAGGGCAACGCCGAAGAGGGAGGGGGAGCGGCGCGAAAAGAGAGGGAGGAGCGGATAGGGTTTGTAATTAGGGGAGCCCACGGGCCTGGCCGGCTCGGGAAGCAGTCCTCGGCCTCGATCCAGCAAGTGGTCATTTGCCGCACTTTCTCCAAGAGTTGTTGGGTCAGTAGATAATGTCTTTGATGGTTATTTTCACAAAAATTTGCGTGACCCAAATCAGTTATTTCTATAATCTCTTAATTAATTAATTTATTTATGTATTCTACTAAAAAAATAAAATTTATAATAAAAAGATTTACTCCAATTTTTTTCTAGATTTAACTACATTTTACATTTTAAATTTTTCTCAATCTCACTAAGATTCTAATAAAAGA